TTGTATTTACCGAACAGACTAGGTAGACTGTCACCTAATTGTCTCCTAGGACTAACACCTCTTTTATTCATTTAAATGTTAATTACCTATCGGATGTGTTTGACAACCTATGGTTATATACCATAGTTTAAGTCAAAGTGATATACGTTCCAAGTTCATTCATAGAATTAAGTTAACGACATCTGTCTAATCAAATGATAGACAGAAAAACAGTTGGATGCCGGCTCAGTGATCTAGTTGGTTAAGCGTCTGGTGCGAGACTGATAGGTCCTGGGTTCAAATCTCGCGGTGGGCGGGATCGTGGATGCGCACTGCCGAGGAGTCCCATACAAGGACAAAAGAGCCATCCAGTGCTCCCAGGTTTTCCATGGTGGTCTACCTTTAATTGACTCATGATTTCAACCAGAGAAAAACAGTAGTTGAATATCATAAACTTAACTAATCATAGAAATTTCACTTATAAATGGAAATTAGAAATAACATTGAAAACTTTACTTGGTAACATAGTAATATTATGAAGGGGGTTTCTTTTGAAAGCAGATAGGAAAACCAAACAAACAATTTATGCTATACACTTAGAAATTCCAGTACTATGCCTAAAAAATTATAATGCATTATAAGAATAGACAAGCTTTCGCTATTTATCAGTATAAGGTTATGGAGATTATTAAGTTTTTGATTGAGATCATGAACCGATTGGTGTTAGACCATCATTGAAAAACATGGAAGTACTAGACGGCAGTTTTGTCTTATTGTTGGATTCCTCAACAGTGCGCATCCATGATCTCGCGAGCGAAATTCGAACCCAGGGCCTTTAGTCTCGCGTGCGAACACTTAACCGGCATCCAACAGTGTTAATGTCTATTCTCAACCAATCTACGAAAATGGATTAACTCCACTGATCACTGCTGCTCATTAGAACTCTGAGAATTCCCTCATGAAACTATTCACTAGTGAGTACATGGTAATTATCAGTATAGGGTTGTAGGGATTGAGATTATGAACCGATTGACATTAGACCATTATTGAAAACCTGGAAGCACTGAACGGTCGTTTCGTCCTACTATGAGACTCCTCAGCAATATTTCATTAGGAACTAATATTTAAAATCTTACACATTTACTAGAACAACTTATAGAATATATAATAAACATGTTTAATGTTAAATTTATGAAAATAGTCCTCCTATTTCAGTGAACTCTTATTGTATATTATTAAATAACATTTGTGATTGATGACAGGCTTATCGAACAGTAATGATGATAATATTATATATGCTACATTAAATACATTGGAAATATGAATACATATTAAAGTGTACTATTTTAATGACAATACAACTATATGTTTAGTGAAATAGTATATACACAATAGTTGATCATCATTTCAGAGGCTTATACATTAGAAATATCGCTTATTGAATATTATAAACATATTAATAGTTTTGGAATAAACAGATTTTTGTTTAAAGTTTATGTCTGTAAACGTGCATGTATTTAAAATGTCTACAGATTATGTGTATTCAAAGGTCCTACTCACTGCCTTCTCATGGTGAGTGTGTTCTTTATGAAATTGAGAGGACGAAAAGCGAATATCCGGCGCTTTAATCGGGTTGGTGGACAGAGAGAGTCCATCTACATGAGTTGGAAAACCCTGATTCCAAACCAATGGTGCACATAGGCTCCAGGATCCTGCGGGAACAAATGACGTATGAACCAATCGTTGGTCACCGGCTACCATGTGACTGCATCTTCTTACGTTGCTCCACTGCCTTATGGATCAGACCTTCAGGTCGAAGGCTCCGGGTTTGACCCCCTAAGAAAACCACCTGCTTCGGTTTGGGCACCTGGACAGTATCACAGCCCTCTCACGTATCAAATGAGATTTGTGTGGTGCATATGTATTTGGTGCCTCCTTGTACCAATATATATGTGTTAAAATAAATAAATAATATTCAAAGGTATGGTGGTGATCATGCTCATATAACTCATCAGTCAGTCAGCTACAACATAGGATAAGGGACATATATGCATCAGTCCAAGTTGCCATACCTCATTAACACAACAAGATGAACACCGGATTCATAAAAGTAGTTAATTCAATGGTGGTAATATATAAAAGAAAGATCACAATAAGGATATAATACAGGAAGAAAGAATTAGTTCGTAGAAAGAAAGATATGAAGCGATTTTAATCTCACGGCTTAAAAGAAGACAAGAGTGTATACACCGACGCCATTGCGATAGATTCTGAGCCATTTCACTCAGAATCTCCAACCATTGGTTACGATAGTCACGCGGACCCCAACCAAGTATAACTCATATAAATTAATTAAATTCAACAAGACCATTGAATACGATAATTAGTTTGGGGATAGTGTAGATAGTAAGTTCGACAATTCATTTATATTTATACATCGCTCATCTTTTAAGTGATTAAACATATTCAGCGAATGATGTACTCATATAAAATGCTTAGAACATATCGTGAAGTTGATAACTGTAAAATTCAAACGCAAACACCGCCACTACGGTGGTCAGCATACACTCCTACATGTCTATCCCTTAATTCTACTACTCTTGAATTAATATTAGTAGTTACATCTCGTTAAGCTAATGTAGTGTGATAAATTAGACCGGTGAATGTATGTTCCAGGTTCTATGATGGATATAACTGATATATTTGTCCTTAAGAGGAGCGATAGAGGATTACATTGGTGTTTGTGCCTTTAATATGTAATGCGAAGACAAATTCGCCATTGAAGTTAGGTTAGCTTGAAAAATTTGCGAAAAACAGACTACAACTGTTGAGAAACATCATTATATATATTAGTTTGGAAATTCCCAACTGGAATGGGCATAAGACTGCAAGTTGTTGTAATATTGTATATTTTGTCCTCAAAAGTCTTTTCTGTGATGAAATGAAGGAAATACTGTCACTACATATATTAAATTTGAGTTTACTGTTTTATAATTATCGGATGGAAAAAGAAAACAGTAGACTCACAAATTATTGGACAATAATACTATATACCTGAACGCATATTTGACATAGGATTTAAACTTTGTACTTTTCTGCGATTATTGGCAAGATGGATGTATTTTACTGAAATCTGAAGCTAAATGCTTCAACGAATACTATCCAGTAAACATTATAATCACTGACATAATGCACACAGCCTGATCAAAACATTTCAGTCAGTAGTTGAGGTATAGTTTGTATGCAAGACAATTCATTTACCAAATGAATGTTAATGTATTCAGTTCTCATCCACACTGTCTTAGCATATTGAGAATTGTAAGATTGAGGAGGAACAGGTTTAGAGCTTATTGATTGAAATTCGAGGGTTTTAACCTCAGCTGGAGACATTTAGTGATATTACTAAGAATTAGCCTCAGTGAAGCATTCATTCTTTGTTTTCATCTAGATCATGAGTTTTAATATTATTCCATGCATTTTACTACTTAAATTTATTCCTTCTTCATGAACCATATTTTCTAGGTTTGATATTGTTTACTATCATTGATACTACTAATATTTCAACTCCTTTGATGTACTGATGTAATGTGACAACTTAGAACGAAGGGCATTTGCATCAGGTTATGAATGACTGATTGTGAGATTCTTGTTCGTAACACATAAGACAACCCAGTAAGTCTATTTTAGCAGATTTCCAAAGCAATACCATTCCAATCCAGGTTGATGTAAAGTTAGTTATGTTCATGTACTGACACCAAAAATCACATTTAGGTGACGCAAATTAAAATCTTGTATATTGCAATATCTCATGAAAAATCAGACGCATCACGGTTTTATTTAACATGAAATTTTATTAACTGAAACACTGCGTCGTACTTCGTAAAAATTTGAAACGATATAATTGCTTTTTAAATCTTCGATACATCGTTTATGTCAATTACACTAGTTCCTGGTTTTAAAATCACAGCGACCTAATGATATCGGAGGATTTAACCTGGAGGAATTTAGTAAAAAGAAACCCAATAATCAAATTACATAATAAATAGGCTAGAAAGCCAATAAAACACAAACAACCGGAAACTCAAGCGCTATATTTCTAGCAGCTATATCACATAAGTTGTGGGGAAGATTCAGTCAATCAGTAAGCAACAACGTAGAACTTCATACGTACGTACATCGGTTGGAGTTGTCATACCACATTAGTACAGAGATAAAACTGTCGATTCGAAGCCCAAAGTGGTAGAGGTAGTAAAAGTATGGGCAATAATCGGAAAGACTACGGTTTGAAGATGTTATTCAAAAAGTACAATCCAGTGAAATAAATTTGGAAAGAAAAATTCAGAAACTTAGAATTTGGGAGAACACAAAGAGTGGATTCACCTGCACCATTGCAAACAATTTTGAGTCACGTCACTCAAGCTCTCTAACCATCGGTTGTTATCATCTTGCGGATTCCAAACAGATAGTCTACACCTAACAACATGGCTCAGTCCATTTGTCAGTGACTTCATGAATTGTACCATGTTTTGGTCTGACCACCCCTAGCTTTCTTCTAACCTACTCCTACACCATAAAACATCGCACGTCGGGGCAGTCGGTTGTTGAACATACGTAAAACGTGTAGCAACCATCTCAACTGATGAAGTTCCATTACTTCATCATTTGATTTACCATCCTTATGTAGTACCTGTTTCCTAACAACTGCATTACTTACTCGATTCCAGAGTTTCGCCGAAAAGAAGGAGTGTTTCGAATAGAGTACGTTTGTATGAACTTAGTTTGCGTAATTATTGGACAAAAAACGTATAATCATCAGTATGGAGATTGTATTATTTTTAAATCTGAATTCAAGAGTCACCAACACTGAAAATCTGGGAGCACCGGACGACCGTTTTGTTTTAGTATGAGACTCCTCAGCAGTGTGAAATGCTTCGAAGACACCTATGATCGAATACTACGAATATCCTCTACTCTTATCGGACGATTAGGAACTTGTACAAGTAGTTTAGAAAAGTCTGAGACAAAACTCAAAGTTTTATTCGACACGATAAAACTCTAAAACGAGCAACGAGGTCAACAAATTTATGTACAGCTACTGAAGTGAATATTTTATTTTGTTTTACTGTTTAACTAGTTCTTCACGATTCAACTCAAATAGTCTAAGTGTTAAACGTTGGTTCATTTTGGCGAATTTTTCTGTACATTTATTGACGCATTCGGTCTAGAAGGTAAAAAGAAAAAGAGTGAATTACCCTTGACATAAAACCATACCTCCTTATCATTTAATTTACGTGAAGTAAAATTGCTAACACATCGGTCGAAGCATATTGTACTGCATCGAACATACAATTCAGATGTTTCTTTGATTTGCATCTACAAACAAACGAGGATAGTGGGGCAAGTATAATTGCAGTGTATATTAACTGACTGATTAAAATGAATAAAATATGAAATAAAGTGATGAAAGAAATATGGACAATCAGTTACATCGATAATAACGTACAGTTCATCGCATGAAGAAAAGAAGATTAACAAAGAATACCAAGATAATGGTATCAACTTTTAGGTAGACATAATAAGAACACAGCGATAAAACGTTGGAAATGTGTAATAAATTTAAGTTTTGTCAAACACGTAATTAATCTTGAACTATAATTCATCTAAATTAAATATTGCCCATTTACCAAGTCCAGGTTTATGTGACCAATTTTGAGCCATACTACCTTCATCAGTTACCCGAGATAGTGCAGATAAAACTCGACCTTAATCTGTGATCTAATGACTGTAAGTCAAGTGATTGAGAGAGAATCCCTAATCACTGCCTTCTCGCACCACGGGTGTTGTTTATGAAATCGAGAGGACAAAAAGCAAGTGGGCGGCGCACTTCAACCGGGTTGATGGATATGGAGGACCAACTTAGGGGAGTTGGAAACAAATGACGTACGAACTTATGTTGGTCACTGGCTATCCCGGGACTGAATCTCCTTATGGCTCAGAACTTTAGGTCGAAGGCTCCGGGTTTGGCCTCCTAAGAAAACCACCTACTTCGGTTTGGGCACCCGAGCAGTATCACAGGCCACACAAAAAACAAGTGACTTGTGTGGTGCATATGCATGTGATGCCTCTTTGTACCAATATTTGTGTTCAAATAAATATATAATCCTGACTTACGAGGGGATTATCAGTCATATAGCTCGGCGAATGTGGTAATGGTTTACGATCAAAAAGTGATGTGGTATCATCTTCAATCGAGTGCCCAAAGCAACACACTAGAAAATAAACAAATGGACATACTCTAGCATATCTGTGCTTCGTTCTTCTGCTCCATTGTGTTTATATGGATTATCATATATCTCAACTCATTTTACCGATGTTTGTATCCAGCCACTTCTGTGACAAACCGATTGAGTCACATTATAGCACATGCTAGAGTTTCGAAATAAATCGATGAATTTGGAATACTCCATCAACAAGTTGTCTCAAAACTGAGTGGTAAAACTGATGTATGCAAAAGGTAACTTATTCCCAGTTGATCTACGAAGTGTGATTCGATGGAGGGATCCGGAGACTACCTATTTGATTAGTTTGCTTTGATTCAGCCTCAGGCTGAAAAATAAAGTTGCCATAGAACCTTAAAAATTGTACTATATCACTTTTATTTACATTGTGTGCTGTAAACGGAGATGCACCAAAAGTAACAAGGATGAAGGAAAATTTACTATGATAGTCAACTAAATACTCGCTCAATATACAGTCTACATTGTCCAAGCACTTTCTAAATGACTCGTGATAGTTTTTAAGTCGCGAAAATTTGGTCATATATATCAACATGAGAAACCAATAGAACCAAATGAAACAAGCTGACAATTACTTTGTTTAGATATTCGCTCATTTCGTCGTCCATCTTGTTTGACAGTTAAATTTGATGAGAGATGATTGAAAAATCGATTTTGGTTAGGGCACCTCAGAACCACATGTTGTAGCACACTGTTTCTTTTTCGCGATCGACAGAAATGTGTCCAATAAGTCGTGAGTGAAATAGAAGAATTTTTGCCAAATGAGTTTCACATTTAGCAGCAGCAGCAGAAAGTCACGATTTTGACCAAATTTATGTGCAGATTGTTTAAAATGACCTCATGTTTTTACTATTGCGCGGTATTTGAAAAAGAACAATGGTATTTCAACTCTGACTATATTTTATAGTATTGATCGTTTAATTACGCATCAAGACTACTGTTTTTGCTTTACTTTAATTTATTTCAGTTAAAGTAATCCCCAAAAAGTATATGTTTTTTCTAGAGCAGTCTGTCATCTGTACTTTTGAGTTCATATACAAAAAAACCAAAGGCACTGGTATTTACTCTTCATTCTTGAGTATATCTTTGAGTATTGTTTGTATCCGTAGGTTCTTAGGTCTTTTTGTAACTACTAAAGTCGAATTTTTTATTGTTGTTAGACATATCTATTTATATGTAAACATAAAACAAATTTATGGCGAGACTGAAACATAGTTGTTGCCGACCTCCATGCTATTTCCTTGTCGATGATAGGATGCGATGTGATAGCCGCGACAAGCGCGCACCGGACTCCCACTGGCTGCATATAAGCGGTGGTGCAACCCATTACCACGTTGGTTGTCTGAAGGATGTTGTTCTACATGATCTCTGCTAATTCTAAGGGTGATTGAGCTTCTGAACATAGCTAGAAAGTTGCCCTCAGATCTTCGAATAGGGAGCCAAGGGCTAGATTTTAGCATTGCCTCAGTCATATTAGGTCTTGATAATCAAGCTTCTCCAATAACAGTTTTAGGAGTTAACATCTGTAAGCTATAAAAAATAGGACAAAGGTGCATTCTAAAAGTACTCAGAAAAGCCTCCTCTTCCAGGTTACTTTTGCTGCTGATACTAGGAAACTCATGCAAACTGATTGGATCCGGAATATACGTCCGTGGGGATCTCAGTCTAGTTTATTGTATTAAGAGACGAGCTGCAGAAATGGAAATAAGTGAGCGCCGCTGAAACGGTGAAAGGAACCTCGTTCTTAAGAGTTTTCATATTGTAAAAGTTCAAAGCAAAACGATCCCCAAACCACTCTGGGTGGTAAGGGATAGTCCTCCACAGAATTAGAGGTGTGCTACACGAATGCTGGCAGCCCACTAAATAAAAAGGCGGAGCTCAGGACAGTGGTGGATAAATGGTTCAAACGGTTGCGGACGGTCTAGAAGAAGCTTTCGCTTAACAGGCTTCCGTTTCTAGTAGCAGGGAATCACCAATACCCCCAGGCAGGAACCTAGGTATGTTAACGAAAATAGATTAAAAAAAGGAAATTGGAAACTCATAATAAGATGTTATCCTTAGTATTTAACAATAGGTCAAGTTTCCTATTAAAGGACTCCTGGAAATTCGCTCGAGCTAGTTCAGTTGGCAGCGAATTTCAGCATCTGACAACTCTTAAGGAGTAGACGTTTTGCCTACAGACCGTTCTGCTATGTTGTATCTCTAATTTCTGGGTGTTACCCCTTAGGTTTGTATTGGGACTAAGCTTAAGTAGGTGTTAAAGGGGATGTCCAGAAGTGTCAAGGATACTGTAAGCCATCAGAAGGTCACTTCTAAGACGCTTATACTCTAATGGGTAAAGGTTAAGCGATTGGAGGCGCTCTTCCTAAGGTTTGAATTTGAGTCCCCGAACTGATTTCCTGGCTCGCCGTCGTATGTTTACGACTACTCCAACCCCAATTCCTGTTTTTTACTTTCGTTGCGGAACAAAGACATCTCAGGTATTGGTAGCTTCTCGTCCGTAAACTGAGAAGATATCCAACTTTCAGATATTGCTATCAGTTGAGCATTATTAGCATTGCTAAAATCACACAGCATATACATTTTATTTGGTAATCTCGCGGCGTCCATGTATAAGCAGTTTATTCTTTCAATTTGAAACGCGTGAGCTTCTTCCTGTTTGTCTGTATGAGCATTACGTGAATGGACAGGTAGCCTACGTATATGAGGTTTACCGAGTTGGAAAACCATGTCCTTTACACGTCTTTTACGATCAAGACAGTCCAAAAGTGGAATGGTTAGCTCCAACTTGCCTTTGTGCTTGATCCTGGCGTCATGTGGCCTATCAGGGTGCATATGGACTCCAGTTGGCAACCGACGTCTGTTGGCACGAAATGCTTCAGGATTGCAGCCACCATATTGGAGAATGGGAAGGTTATCCTCATTAGCCGGGGTCTAGAATCACCGTCCTTCTTCGCTAGTCTCATCACACATTGAGTCAGTATGTTTTTGAGCCTCATGGACTGCTTGATGAATTGCCACTCCCTAATAACAGAGCTTGCTTGACTAGGGCCCGTGTTTTCCGGTATACTTCGCACAACGATATTTCCCCCGCAGAAAAACTTCTCATGAGGTTCTTTAGGGATGTTCCGGATGAGACTGCGCACAGAATACGGTATGTCAGGCAGTATTCTTACGTTCCCATCGGATTTCAGTAAATGACTAGCTAGCAGGACATCCTCTACGTCGGTAGCATTTTTAAGTGTTACATGAAGTACCCTCGGGTGATTTTTATGTTTAGATTCATTTTTCTGGGTTGGTCGTGTGACTGTCATAGGCTCTACTCTAGGAAGTCCAAGCTTCTTGTTCAACTTGCCCCAGAGCATCCTGTCACTTTTGTCCTGCAAACTGAGAGGAAGGTCAGGGTTGTCTTTGAGGTTCATGATTATGAGAGAGTCATCACAAAACGTTATTGTTTTCCCAGGTTTTCCGGTGCGTTCAGGTTCAGCATCTTGTTGTTTGGAGGTCGAAGCTCGTTTCTGAATCCTAGGCTCTTTGATGACCGGACGGACATTCTTGGGATTAGACTGTGAGATCAAATCCCCAGTTCATTTCCGTACAACAATCGGGATGTTCAGCTTGAACGGTAACGCCTGGTCCTGTTAACGTGAGTCCTATCACCCACAGAGTTTTTGGGAACAACTGTTGCATTCGAGGACCCTGAGCTGGAGGCCCGAGTTTGCTGAGTGGGTCTATTGCCGTCGACTTTATGATTGGTGCTGAGATTCACCATGTCATCACTAGTGCTAATGCGTGCTCCATCGATAGTAGACCTGTCGACATTCCTATTCTTGTTTTCGTTGCGCGTCCTTGTTTGTCTGCCCGTTTTATGACTGTCGTTTTCCAAGTTTGCTGACAACTTACTTTGCAAACCTGTCAGTAGGACAATGATGTTACTCAAAAAAACTACAGGATCCGTGCTGCATGTAATACATACCCTGTTATGATCCGACTTTCTGAGTTTGTTGTAAGGAGTTGCTGTGAGATCTATGAACGCTTCGTGGAACCAACCCTTACAGCTGTCGCACTGCATGCCAGATGTAACAGCAAAACGGCACCCAGGTCGTGTGCATGAGTTTTGCATGACTATATTGACTTTAACTGCATAATAGATGCTAGTAAAAGCCTAAAACCGTTAAAAATACACTAAAAAACACACTGAAAACGGGCAAAAATTGATAAAAACGGGTGAGATAAATTGAACTAGCCTTTACGTGAAAAACCAAAAAAACCGATTAGTAAGCTGAGGCAAAACCACAGTTAACTGTCAAATTTGGTAAAACTGGAAAAAATAATCTACCTAACGTATAGCTCAGAATAGATTCTTTAGTTGCGTAAGGACATACCAAAAGTTTGGGAAGCGTAGATCACGTTGGGACTAAACTTCCCGTTCGAAGAGCGCTGTCTCAGAATCATGGTTAACGTCAAAATTCCTCGATAATGAAATTCCGTTGACGGGTTTTTTTATCCAGTAGTACCATGGATTAAAACGTAGATGAAACAAGGTGACCATGTACACGAAAAGTATCTTAACAATACGAGAAATTTAGATGTTGTCACATGATTCATGGCCATGTGAACTGTTGCTCTGCAAGCTGACATGTAGATGGCAAGATATTGAATTAGTTGTAGTATATCGTAGTCCAGAATGTGTAGTAGATGACTTTCTTCTAAGCAAACTTAATTCCTGGTGTAATTAGGGTAGAAGGATTATAGTAGGCGACTTTAATGCGCCGTATATAAACTGAGTAATTTTAGAAATAGGGTTATTGATATCGTCATTCGATTGCAAACTGTTAGAAGCTTCGATTGCATTAGCTTTATTCCAACACACTGGAGATCCAATCGGAAATGACTTGCGATGCTTCTCGTCTCTCTTGGATTTAGTTTTCACACACTTTGATGATGTCGGTCAAATGAACCTCCTCCACCGCTAGGGAGAATCGATCATGCAGTTATATTATTCAAATTCATGGCTGAGGTTGCCTGTCGAACAGTTGCCTCAGCCCGTCCTAATATGGAGGCCATCAACTAAGCAGCATCGGCTGAAAGCCGAAAAATTAACTCAAGACATCAATATAAGAGGCATGGATTCATTTCAGACAGCTATACAAACGGGTAACTTAACCACTTATACCCTGGACAGTTCCGAAGAAGTAGAGGAAGTACGACCGTCCCTGGATAGTCTGGGATATCCGACACTTACTAAGACAAAAAGAGAAATGTTGGAACTTTGCCATCAGCCTTGACACAGCAAGTACCTTGGAACGCTACAGGACGGTAAGAAATGAGTGTATAATTAAAATCCGGGAAGCTCAGAAAAAATATGAGATGCAGTTAGCCCAATCTGCAATTAAGCTGCCTAAGAGATTATTTTAGTATAAAAATTGCAGAGCAAGGATGCATCGAAAGACCGTTTGGTGGAATTATAACGTTAAATATTAGAGAAACTTACTGATTTGAACCATCTGTACCCAGTAACAAAGAAAATATAATAATCACCCAATGAACACAAAATATATTCAGAGTGCACTAATTAGTGTTGTGCTGATAAGTTAAATCTCTTATCACGGAAAAGACTTCAACGAGTGTACACTACACTAAATTACGATATTGAAAATCGGAACTTATCTCCAAGACAACACTTTACATGGTACGTACTTAAAACATAACGTTTCTACGTGTTTCTATCCGTTGTTTTTCAACAAATAATATTGAGACGTTTTAGAATAAATAAAGTAAGCTCTGTATGTACGTTAGGAATAAGATTTACGCTTCTCGAAGTTTGATCGTTATTTGAGTGCATCATTCGCAGTACGAACCACTCCATGCATTACTTTCTTGTCTCAAAGCAATGTTAATTCTATATGTTCTTTTGAGTTGGGATAAAATATTGAAAGGTAAGAGGCAATATTAGCTTTAAGGTACGCTACATGCTCTTAAGAAGTCAAACTCATGTAAATTCATCCTATATTTTAAGAAGCCAGATTAAATTAATAAGTATTGACTAAAAGCACTGAAACAAAAAGATATGACCAGAAAAGCATGTATCTTATTTGATTCTGTTCATTGTTATTATTTTTAAGAAATATGAACCGTTTATTATCAACCAGGATTAAAATAAGCAAATAAATTATTGATCAAAATTAAAGATGGATAAAGTTCACCATTGAAAGAGATGCATAACTTTTAAGAACATTAGAATGAGACTTTTGGGGAAAATTCCAGATGGCTATTTCAGGGTTGATCAATGAAAAAATTTTGACTACGAAAGCTTCTCTGAGTTTGTAATCGCCCTTAATATCTGTTCAAGACAATTGTAAATTACTTTCAGCCACATAGTTTGATTGGTATTCATAGTGAAAGTGCGTTCATATCCGTAATTAAATTTAGTCATGGTATTCTATGACCACTAAAACGAAACAAAAAATTGGACTAAAGCTGTTTAGTCTATCGATAAATATCAGTAATATATATCCAATTCGAGTCAACAAAGACTATCACGTCTTATTTTTTGTGTTTCAGACGTTCAGTCTGTTCAAATCATGTTTTTCTCCTATATTTACCAATTGACACTTAGTTCAAGATTTTCTACTGTTAGTCTGACCTTTTATTTTCAAGTGATGGATTTAACCATTAGATTTAATCATTGATAAATTGCATGAACTGTTCTTTAAAGATATGGTGTATGGAATAGGTTGGTTATTTTTGATAGTCCAATGGTACGGCTTTTAGCTAACTTTATTTGCCATATACTGAAATTTTGGTCAATGAATATATAGAGATTATATATTATTCACACACAACAAAAGCGTCAGTATACTCTATTTCTATCCCACACTTTGTATATATTGCACCCAAATAATTTATAAGGACTTTGTCAATCTATCTAATCTTAATAACTGTCCAACACTGTTTAAAATTCATTTAGAGAACCGGTTGTCAATAGACATTGATCCCTATAATCTCTTTGCTTAAACATGTTTTTAAAGAATTTCATAATGGAATACAGCTCCAGATGGAATAAGGCAGCAAATAAAACATTTTTTATGTTGAGATCTGGATGCTGTGAATGGTGTAGATACTGTGTGTTCAACATAAACTGTAAGGTTATAGTTCACTCAATACGTCATTTTTTGGTTTTTTGGAGTTTTATTATATCCGAACCTATGCAGCATATTTTCTTATACCTGCTATTTATGAATATGTAGTAAAAAAGAAATAACTGAGAGTTTGGAAGAGTTAAAAACCAATGATTTTGCTCTTAAGTAAATTAAAGGAGTTATAATCTACTGAGTAACGCTGATATTTAGTAGTAAGAAATTTAGACCTGTACTGACTACCGTGCTTCGTTGTTTATATTCTAATACTTTTTCAGTCACTTTTTAAGCCAATTTTACGCGATTTATCTTTGATTCTATATTGTGACTAACATTGAATGTTTAATAGAGTTATTATTTCTCAAATGAGGACGTATAACACTCTTGTCAATTCTTCGCACACAATTTAAACTTAACACGAAGTACATTTGTCTAAAATAAATAGAAATAGAACTCAATATTACCTATCTTTTGTTGCAATATGCGATATCCGAGACTTGAGACTGATGTGAAAATTTTCTATAAACAAACTTGACCACTTGAGATTACGTAGGACGAATGGGAAGAAATTTATTTCATTAACCGGATCAAGAGACTGTGCACCCCTTAGAATATTAGGCCGCCCAGTGGTTCACGTTTTTAATCTTATGCCGTAAGTTCATTTCTTTCCCAGTCAGGTAAATATGTTATTTTTAAGATGTCCAATTATCAGAATGTATTATTTTTACAAAGGTTTAAAGTAAAAGCTAAGTCTGATTTAAATGCTTCGCAAAATCTATTCAGTTTGCTACATTCGCCATTATAATTGGAATAATTGTATGTTAACCCGTCTTTAAAATTCACAAGGGTTGCTTTTATAACTTCGCCACCAGGTTACCATAGCCTACTTTGTGTGTGCATAGGGTGTTCTTAACCATAGGTTTTCTTACTGTAGGGTTATTTATCGTACTTGGTATTTTGGAGTTTCTATGTCAGCATTTATTAGTGGGAGGCTGAGTCATTTAATTCTATTAGTTAGCTTTTACATTCAGATGACAACTTATTCCTTACCTTTATTCTAGTTTTAAAGAGCCGTTTTGACAGATATATAGTAAATTTTGCATTTAAATGTTTAGCTTAATGTTTTGAGTATATATACACATATACGAGCAGTTAAGATTTATTCAAATTTAAGGAGAACTTTGTTAACCCTATTTGGCTAGTTTAATATATGTGATTCAGTGATTCAATGATAATGAAACATTCTGTGATTAGTTTACATCATAGATCCAACTCATTTGCACTTTAAGATCATAGATGTTTCCAAAAATTCAAGATAATGATATTTCTGGTAGGTTAGTGAAGAAAAACTGAGAGTAATAAGTATAAGAAATATATCACTCATAATATCTGAAACTTCAGTTTGTACCTTTAACTGTTTTGCAGTCTTATACTTTACAGTAGACATTTTACTCTGCGAAGAAAAGACAATATCTAGTACCGCCATGTCAAAATGATATTTTTATTCACTGTATGTCAGCAAACCAAGGTCAGTGGTTTTTTTGTGTACCGGTCAAATAGAATTGGAACAAGCGACCTGATGATTGAATTAAAGAGTTAGGGGCAAATTTATTGTTAATAAGTAATCGTTTATAGATTGTGTATTTTCCAGTTATCCTGACGTGATTCACCGATACACTAAATTAAAGTATATAGAGACTCACGTTTCCAGTTTATTTCACTATTAACAGCATTTTGATTGATTCTAATGACACGAGTTTTAACAGGCTTGTTTGGTAGAAGGTAAGTTTCTTTAGTCTCAATCTGGATCGAGACAAAAAAGTTCTTCCTCTAATATATATTACACCAAGAGACAACATCACGGCAGTATGCACAAGGTCCACATGTCATTTGATTACTAAAATCACAAATAACAGAACTTCTTAATAGTTCCATTTGTTGTAGCCGCTCAATTATCACTATTTCTCAAAAATTCGCTGTGAACCGATCGTATGTGAACATCAGTTGCTGAAATTGGTGCTGTGACCTTGAAATCCTTGCAACGCTTCCGATTGACTCGCCCATAAATCATAGTCTTGCCGGCACCAATCGTAGCTCGAGACTTCTTTATAACCTATTTGTCGTGCATAGGTTTTTTGATAAACTAAAATGTTTTTATCTTTACCTTATAGATATACTTTTGGCAAAACTGCAAACCATTCATTGATTAGATTGTTATAATTCTTTACGGCCAGTGTAATAAATATACTCCTATCACCTGACTGATAATTAAATATGAGTGTGAAAGTGGACATTCAATCTTCTAATTTCTGTCGTATTAATGATGAAAGTGATCAACATAAACAACTTATACCAGAAGATACAATTTCAACTGTGTACAGTATGTTTAAAATTTTTTATTGTTTTATTATAGTATTCTCAGACATACGTCTTCCAATAAAAGAATGATCAATCGCAGTCCTAAACATCAGTGGAAAGATTCAAACAAACAATGCTAAGTGAATTTAAACTTCACCCCATTGCACAAACAAGTGGCTACCAGGACTCAGTAGCTAAGTGAATATGACGATGGCGTTTGAAACGAAATGTACTGAGTTTGAGTCTTAGAGTTCTATTGAGAAACAACGACCAGTAGAATTCAACCGAGTTTGTTGTGAGATAGTAACTCACTCATGACAATGGTGCATGGTGGCACAATTTTGTGGATTAGTTGAAATCAAACATTTACACCGTTAAATACCGGCCAGCTCACTGGTCTATACATAAATTTTGTTATATAAATATTTATTTAAACACATAAATATTAGTACAAGGGGCACCAAACAGATATGCGCCACATAAACCATTCGATTTATGTTAGGGCTGGGATACCACCCGGATGCCCAAACCGAGGCAGATGGCTTTTTTAGGAAGCCACACCTGGAGCCTTTGACCTAAAGATCTAATCCACAAGGCAGTGAAGCAATGTCAGGAGATGCAGTCACATGGTAGCCGGTGACCAACAATTGGTTCATATGTCATTTGTTCCTTTAGGATCCTTGAGACCATGTACACCATTGGTTTAGAATGAGGGTTTTCCAACTCCCCTAGGTGGACTCTCCATGTCCACCAACCCGGTTGAAGCTCCAGACACTCGATTTTTATCATCTCAATTTTGTAAACAACACCCTCGCCATGAGAAGGTAGTAGGTAGGACTTCCCTGTCAGTGGTTGTATGCATGTGGCTATGTGAAAGCATTTCGAGAGGAAGATTTGACTCTTATTCTGAAATTAATGTGTTCTATTCTTTTATAGACGAACAACCAAATGTCAAGTTAGATGATAATGAAAAACTAGCAAATGATTCAAGTGATAGTTTACATGAAGTTCTAGATGATTTAAACAAATTCAATGATGAATTAAAGAAATCATTCAATGATTCATTCTCTATTGATTTATCTAACTTACCATATCCTCCTGGTTATTCTATTATAAAACAAAATGATTCAATGATAAATTGTGAAAACCAATATAAGGAGTCAAATGAAATTGAACAGGAAAATTCAAAGGAACCAAGGTATCTATATATTGTTTAATGTGATGTAATCAATCAAGTTATCGACTGGTTATATGCAATTAGTTCCCTTTATGAGTTTAAATAAAATCAGAACGAGCATGGGTACAGAATAATATGAATTCATTATATTTCATTAGGTTCTCATTAGCTGCTTACATAACTGGTTCGATTTGAGCACCCGGGCAATATCCAAGCTTTCATATAAATCGAACGATTTATGTGGAGCATATCTGTTTGGTGCCTCCTTGTACCAATCTTTATGTGTATCAGTCATCATTCAATTGAAGCTAGACCACTATGGAAAACCTGGAAACACTGGACGGCTGTTTCGTCCTAGTATGGGACTCCTCAGCAGTGCGCATCCACGACCCCTTCCCTCCGCGAGATTCGAACCCAGTCTCGTGGGCGAGCGCTTAGCCATTAGACCACTGAGCCGGCATTCAGCGGTGTTAATGTCTAACTTCAACCAATCCACGAAATTGCGCCACCGTACACCATTGTCTGCTGTGAGTTACTATCTCACAACAGACGTGGTTGAACTCCACCGGTCACGGCTTCTCACTAGAACTCCAGGAAACGGCTCTTGAAGTCAGTCACTAGTGAGCATATATTGATTTATATCAGAAGGGGTTTTGTGGAGATTCAATGGACCCATTATTTCAACTATTGAAATTACTAAAATCTCCATAAAACCCCCTTCGGAAACTAAATAGTTGCTTACAACCAAATATGTATTAGAATTTTACATTGAGGTAAGATATAGTGTGGAACAATTGACATAAGCGAATGTAAAGATTTTGAATGACGAAAGTTATAATATATATGCAAGAACATGTCAGAGGTTATTTGGTATTAGGATCAAGGAAACATTAGTGATGGGTGATATAGTCGTTGAGTGAAGTTCAGAGACAGATAAAATAAATTATGTGATAATTTTAAAAGCATTTACCAAGTTACATGTACGTACCAAAGCACATACATTGGAAGAACCGAGAGAAGAGTATATGTTCGCATTTCTGAGCATATTCCAAAAAAATTGAAACTACAAGGGACAAAGGCTCTCAACGGTGCAATAGCTCGACATTTACTTGACATCAAGTATACCATTGACATTTCTCATGCTTTTAAAATTATTATCAGATAAAGAAATACTGCTTCTCTCCGTTTTGTTGAAGTGATCACGACAAAAAAGAACTCAAACCGGATCTATGTATTCAATAAGAGACAGTAATAAACCTATTACCACCCTGGTTATTCCATTTTTTTTTACCGTTAGTTATATATTGTTAATGTTTTGGCTTGCTAATATTCCTCTCCCATTACCGAATTCTCAAACCACCTTTTGTAATGAATTGTACTATTTACTCAGAAGACATAGCCATCTCTCATGTTCAATTCTTTTCTAAAATGATAAGTCTGAGACAAGAAAACAGTGTAAATTGATGAAGGGTTAACTAAAGAGCGTGGTTTCAGGTGTCTTAGAGGGATTGTTTGGACAATGAGAGTGGATATTGAATAAGCGTACCACATATAAT